ACACACCAAAGATCCATCACCTCAAGCCAGAAGGCTGCGGCCGCCCAGAAGGAGTATGAGCGCAAGGAGAAGTTGATAGAGCAGGCCAAGGCCGAGTTCGCAAAGAAGAACTCGCCCGTTAAGGCTGCGGATGCCGGAGGTGCGTATTCCTTAGCCGAGGGCTTTGCAGTGGCACACTTGCGCAATTCGCACGCGACACACTGGATGCCAGCTAGCTGTTGAGTCTGGAAACTAACTGCTCGTGCAGTCAACGTTGACCCCATGGACCCCAAGTTTGATCTTGAGGCCTACTTCAACAACTTAGTCAAGCAGAACCCGTGAGGTGGGGGATTGTATGTGAGGGGAGAGGACGGCTTGCACAACGGATAGACGGGGTCAGGATCGGGGATACGCCTGCGCGAAAAGAACACAAAGAGTCCACCGAGGGACGCATAATCTGGTCTTTCGGCTGCAGTAGGTGCATGGTTGGCACCACGCCCGACGTCACTGCATAGACATTTTCCTTATGCCTCTGTTTACCCGATGTACATGTGTACAATACGCTTTACTAGATGACAATTCCAAGGAACGAGCCATTGGATTCCATCAATCAAAATTTCTTCTGTACAATACAACACGGTCTTGATAGGAATCATCGTATACAAAGCACCTAGATACGTTGAGGCATGGTGTTAGACTTGAGGGCGAGCCCCACGAATTGTAGAGGATGCACTTGCCTTGATACCCCTCAATAAAATCGTCAGATATGCTGGAGTCGACGTCTGGTATTTTTGGTCTTGTCTTTGGAAAGCTGTCGCACGCAAGCTGCCCATTGATTACCACGTTGAACTGTATCTAGGGATATTGATTTCAGACACGTTGAGAATAATTTAGATTTTCCACAACGCAAATCTGTGGGATCAGAAAGACTCTTAGCAAACGCCATATAACGATAACCCAGGACTTTACATCAACACTACTTCGCTTGGTCAAGCGCATCTTCTCTGTCATCTCATTGTCACGGCCGAGAGCCGGAGCACCGGCCCCCCCCGGACCAGGACGGGACGGGAACCTGAACCCACAGCTGCCCTGAGGTGCTTTCCCACGTCGCTGGGAAATCCTTAGTCCGAAGCACGTGACCCCCACCTTTCTGAATGGCTGACGGAAGCCACGACTGTCGCAACTGCCAGTGGGACGGATTGGACGGCTCGGCTCCCAATGGACCGTGCGCGCCTCCCCTGCACAACCGATTCAGGTGCATAAGCTCCAAGCTGTCCTTCTCAGGTCTCTGTGAGACAGGTGGTCGTCGCCAGCTACAATCCCGTACCTTACGCAATCTTCACCAACTTCACGGCCACTGCCTTTCTTCACCACCTGTGGCCACGATGACGGCCCAACCTCTGGAAACCCTCTCCGGAGGCAGCGCGCAGAACACAAGAACTCTTCTCAGAGTCATCATCTTGGGCTTGATCGCAGCTGCCGCCATTGCAAGCCGTCTCTTCTCCGTCATTCGTAAGTGCCCCTCGACACATTGCTCCTGATCGCCTCCAGCGCCAATTGGCCGACTGGTGGCTGCTTCATGCGTTGCAACTTTTGAAATCAAAAAACTATGCTAATCTCGATTGAATAGGCTTCGAGAGTATTATTCACGAATGTCGGTTTCCCTCGTCGCGACCTCCTTCCTACAGCCATGTACTGACTATCCGCAGTCGACCCCTGGTTCAACTTCAGAGCCACCAGATACCTTGTAGCCAATGGATTCTACAAGTTCTGGGATTGGTTTGATGACCGCACATGGCATCCTCTTGGTCGGGTTACTGGAGGAACCCTGTACCCTGGTTTGATGGTGACCAGCGGCGCCATCTACCACGCGCTTCGAGCTCTTACCGTCCCCGTCGATATTCGCAACATTTGCGTGCTTCTCGCGCCCGCTTTCTCCGGCCTCACGGCCTATGCTGCCTACCTTCTTACGAATGAGATGACCACATCCCCCTCGGCCGGTCTCCTTGCTGCGGCGTTCATGGGTATCTCTCCCGGTTACATCTCTCGATCCGTTGCTGGCAGTTACGACAACGAAGCTATCGCCATTTTCCTTCTCGTCTTCACCTTCTACCTGTGGATCAAGGCATTGAAGCTGGGCTCCATGCTTTGGGGAGCTCTTTGCGCCCTCGCCTACGGTTACATGGTCGCCTCTTGGGGTGGTTATGCCTTCATCACCTGCATGCTTCCTCTGCATGCCTTGACCTTGGTCTGCATGGGCCGCTACAGCACCCGTCTCTACGTCAGCTATACCACTTGGTACGCTCTGGGCACTCTGGCCAGCATGCAGATTCCCTTCGTCGGTTTCCTGCCCGTCAAGACCAGCGAGCATATGCCGGCTTTGGGTATGTCGAATTGATACTTTTCTATGACACCTCAGCTAACACACACGATACAGGCATGTTCGGTTTCCTGCAGCTGATCGCCTTCATCGACTATGTCCGTAGCGCCATTCCCAGCCGTCAGTTCCAGACCTTTGTCTTCACCTTCCTGGCTGCTACTTTCGGCCTTGCGCTGGCTGGTCTGGTCGCCTTGACCTCCCTCGGCTACATTGCCCCTTGGGGTGGCCGTTTCTACTCCTTATGGGATACCGGATACGCCAAGATTCACATTCCCATTATCGCATCCGTCTCTGAGCACCAGCCTACCGCTTGGCCTGCGTTCTTCTTCGACCTTAACCTGCTTATCTGGCTGTTCCCTGCCGGTGTTTACTTGCTTTTCCAGGACCTCAAGGACGAGCACGTCTTCGTCATTGTTTACGCCCTGTTCGGCAGTTACTTCGCCGGTGTCATGGTGCGCTTGATGCTCACTCTAACCCCTATTGTCTGCGTTGCAGCTGCCATTGCTGCTTCGTCGATCCTGGACACCTACATGGTCGCCAAGTCTCCTAACCCTGAGGATTACAAGGGTGACGAGGCCACCGAGGCGGCTCCCAAGAAGGCCAAGCACAGCGGCCTCAAGTCGACCAGCAAGCCCCTTGTCGGTATCTACACCTTCCTGTCCAAGGGTCTCGTTGTTGGTGGCATGTCCATCTTCCTGCTGCTCTTCGTTCTCCACTGCACCTGGGTTACCTCCAACGCCTACTCGTCGCCTTCGGTCGTTCTTGCGAGCAGAATGCCCGACGGCAGCCAGCACATCATTGACGACTACCGTGAGGCCTACCAATGGCTCCGCCAGAACACCAAGGAGGACGCCAAGATCATGTCTTGGTGGGACTACGGCTACCAGATTGGTGGTATGGCGGACCGCCCTACCTTGGTTGACAACAACACCTGGAACAACACTCACATCGCGACTGTTGGTAAGGCGATGAGCTCTCGCGAGGAGGTCAGCTACCCTATCATGCGCCAGCACGAGGTTGACTACGTGCTCGTCGTCTTTGGCGGTCTCCTGGGCTACTCTGGAGATGATATCAACAAGTTCTTGTGGATGGTTCGTATCGCTGAGGGTATCTGGCCTGAGGAGGTTCAGGAGCGCAAGTTCTTCACCCCCCGCGGCGAGTACAGAGTCGATGACGGAGCTACTGAGACCATGAAGAACAGTCTGATGTGAGTATTTCCTTCTTGCTCCTAAGCAACACCTACTGACACCCATTTAGGTACAAGATGTCGTACTACAACTACAACTCGCTCTTCCCTCAGGGTCAGGCCCAGGACCGTGTCCGTGGTGTCCGCCTTCCCGACGTTGGCCCTACCCTCAACACTTTGGATGAGGCCTTCACCAGTGAGAACTGGATTATCCGTATCTACAAGGTCAAGGATCTTGACAATGTCGGCCGTGACCACGCGGCTGCTGCTGCCTTTGAAAGAGGCCAGAAGAAGAAGGCGCTGAAGAAGAAGCGCGGCCCCAGAGTCCTCAGAGTGGACTAAAGTGGTAGATCTGGCAATGACTACCCGAGAGCATTTCTCAATTTCTTTGTATCAGGACTGGGATAAGGTGGCATTAGATTCCACTTGTAGACAAAAACGCACACTCTGGTAAATGTACAATATCCGATCATGATTTGTTCTTTGTGACCATTCCCTCTGCTTTTCTCTTTGATCTAGAGTAATCTGCCATCAGATGGAAGTGAAGATAGCTTTACTACTGATCTGCATGATGGTACATTGAAATTATAGCAACATCATGAGATAAAGGTGAGCTGTTTTCGTCTGTTTTGAATGATATCATGTCGCCTGGCATCTAACGGGTACAATGTGCTAGAACATCTAGGATCTCATGCACCATCTGCTTGAGAGGAGCCCCTGCTTTTTCGGGAAGTCGCAGCACCAAGTCACTATCCTGTTAATTGCCTAGGTAGGCATCGTGAACCTCATGTTTCCTTTCCTAGATTATCAGGCCGTAACCCCAGAGCGGTATTAGCCCTAATATCAGACCTAGCTAGACTCCTGACTTGTTCTCTTCCTGATTATCTTCTCCTAGACCTCAACCTCTCTACTTACCTGTCACCAACTTTTGTGTGGTCAACCACCAGCGTCGACATTTACCCCCTAGTATCTTTGCCTCATTCCTCATTTGATCAACCGGATACGGCATCGGCTTTCAATTGCGATCCCTTCATTTTCCACTGCTCTTCAGTGGCACGGATGCGTCGCCGCCACCGAGTTGCTCATGGCTAAACTCTGGAATGCCCTCAAAAAGGGGGGCAAACGCAGCACCTCCCAGATGCTTGCACCCATGAGAGATGGCAATATCGATCGGTACGTACCTAAGGTACTCTGGTCTTCGAGTTCTTCTAGCTTGCTGTCGGTGGCCTGCGCAAGTGTGGTGGGAGCCCGCTCTGGGGTCTTTCCAGGAGGAAGGAGCTTGGTTGGCCCACTTTACCCCGGAGTCGTCCCTTCCACACCTCACCCTTCGACGCACCTACAACTTTTGGTTACCAGCACAACCTACCTACGACGAAAATACCATCCAAATTGCTCACTGACTCGGGTAGCAGAACCACGCAAGCTTTGCAAGAAGTGACGGCATCAAGAGCAAACATGGCGCCGAGAGAGCCCGCGCGAGCTCTCAAAGCAGGCGGAACAGAGCATTCCCGCTCTCATTGTGAGATCTTTTGGATATTTGCTCGCGATGGTCAGACTGACAAGATATAATAGCCGCAAGGAACAGATCCCCTCACCGGAGACACGCTCACCAGGCAGAAAACCACCACGATTGCAAGCATCGCGAAGAGGAGCCTCGCCGGAGACGTATTAGATCAAGCCGCGCGACCAGCGGCCCTAAGGCGTCCTCGCAGACTGCCACGAGAATGAGAGCTAGTGAAAATGATGGACGCTACGCGTCAGCTTACCCTCAAGATATTCGAATGACTTATTCTCATGCTGATTCGAGCTTGATCGCATCTCCTGCGTCCTACACTTCTTCGACAACGCAGGTTCGAGGTGACCATCCGAGCGATGTTCAGGGCGACAGGATGAGCGTCAGAAAAGAGAAATCCCGCGACTAGGAGACCGAGATTCCTGTTCACCTCGACGACAACAATGATGGCTACTACTGTTGTGGATGTGGTATCCGCCGTTCTGACGAGCACCACAAGATCCGCAAATTTCGGGTTGGAGAACCAGTATGGCGCAACTTTTGTCACTCATGCCACGAAAAGCATCTTGCCAGCAGTGACTACAGAAAGCTGAAGCAGTACGGTAATTTTTGCTTCGGTTGTGGCTTTGCTCGCTCTTCCCATTTCAACAAGCAGCATCCCGTCAAACGCGACCATCAGCCCGCCAAGAACTTCTGCGCCCACTGCATGAAGCGGAAGTTCAGAAAGGCAGTCACTCCCGCCGAGACTGTCCTCGAATTCGTGAGTCTGCACTTCACGCCATTTCAGAGTCTTGCTAACAGCCCTAGTCGTCCGATGAGAGCGACGATAATTTGGAGGAAGACTCTGATGACACTCTTCGCCCCCAATCTTCTGATCGGTTTGTCCGACAACATGACGCCAACGCGGATGATCAGAGCAGGCTTGAGTGCGGTACTACAAACGGCGCGGGAGGCTCGCAGAAGTTCAGTAATGAATCTGCTGATATCTCGCCTTTGAGATCCGTCCAGGATCGGCTGCGCAAGCGCCGCTCTGACCGATACGCACCCATCACTCGAGAGTCTACTGCCGGGCTTCATGATAGGATCATTCACGACAATATAGCATCCGGTGCCAACAGCAGCTACAAGTCTCCGAGCGTTGAAGACGCCTCCGGTGCAACGACTTGTCAGCCAGATCACAAAGAAGCACTTTCAGACGGCCAGACTCCGCATGCAAAGCAGGCCTCTGCTGCTATCCCTCGCACTCCAAGCCCGCAGACCGACCCTCTGCCACGCGTGGACGATACGAAAGACAGTGCTATTGGCGTCGGATCGTCGTATTGTTCAGACCAAATCTCCCCGTCCAAGAGAGCCACCTTTAACGAGCGCGTGGAGGTTCGCACGTCCCCTACGTATTGGCAACATGAACACTCGGAGAACGATGACAGCTACGCAAACTTTCGATCTGAGCAATACCACGAGGCTCTCGGAGACGGCAAGAAAGCTACCCCACTCGAAGCTCCCTTGCGAGATCCGGACGGCTTTAGTGCCCGACGCGATCATTCTCCGCATTATAGCGTCGACGAGGAGAGCTTCAACTCTTGGAGCGTTCCGACTGTCGGATATGATGGCTTTGCGGCATCCAACACTTTCAACTGCAGTCCGTTGGCCGGCAATGCTAGTTCAACGCAACCCCATCCCAGTAGTCTATACACTGCCAAAGATTGCCACTCGACCAATCGATCTACCAGCAGCTGCGGCAACTTTTCAAGAACCCAAAGCTTAGATTCAACCTTCACCGACCGGATTTCAGACCCCAGAGACAGATGGTCGCAACGAAGAGGCGAGAACAGCTCTCATCGCAACCTTGGAAAGGAGAATCAGCCTTGCTCCACGAAATACTCGCGCTGCGATGATGCCTCCACGCTTTATGACCACGTCGGCGCCACGGATGGCTCCCGAGAGCATCGTGACACCAGCTGGTCTTACGACTACGATGGAGCCTCCTCTACTAAACATGCGGACAGCTCTCGCTTCTCAGAACCTTATGGTGCCTGGGGCTTTCAATCAGCTCGTTCTGGTAACCGCCAGCCAGCCTCTTTCAACAGCAGCACTGAAGAGCCCCTGCGCGGCTTCCAAGATCTGCCTCAGACTTCTGATCAAAGTAGTGAAAGCGCCCCATTCAACAAGCCATACCAGCCATCGTCCTGGAACGGTCAGGATTCGAGCCATTATCACCCCGATTCCCGCAACAGACAGCAAGATCACCATCCGCATTCTACGAACAATAGTTGGGATCGACACGGCCAATCGAACGAAGGCCAAGCTCCTAGCAGCTCGAACCGTTTCTCCTCTGGTTCAAGCAGCTACAATACTCGCCAACCACCCAACTACATGTACGAGACTTCCTGCGACGCCGACAATCCTGCTGATTCCACCGCTACCGGTCACACGCAGTCTTCGTTGTACGAGCCGAGGCTCCCCCCTGTCGGCTTTGCCATGGAGATCCCTGACGACATGTCTAAGAGCGAAGTCCAGACCATGTTCATCCCCGGCTATGACGACTACGTCCCCTGGCGCAGCACCAGCTCAGTCTAAGACGCCGCACCCTCAGACCATGTCTTTCAAAGATATCAAACAGACAGACAAGTTAGTTCGCGATGTCTGAATCTTTCTCGCTCGGAACCAATCACATTGCCATCCGGCACTACGAAGGCACCAGCGACCACATATTGTCGACTTTACTTTCTGCCGCACACGATTTGCAGAAACTGCTACGGAATAATCAGTCTTGTACACCTGTTCGACTTTTATTTTCTTTTTTCTTCTTCCTTCTGTTTGTCATTTTTAGTCCTTTTTCATTGATTATTCCCCCTTCTGAAACAGCAACACTTTCACCTCGGATCGACACCCTCGCTCGACATGCAACTTTAATTCAACGACAACAAACCCCTTCTTTTGATTCTCATCTCATGCATTACCGGGTTTCTTGGAACGGCTAATGCAAAGCTCGGTCACTTCAACGATGTCGAAGTGCGCTGCAAAACTGGCAGTCTGGGCTTTGCAAGGAGTGTTCTTATGGATGGGAACGAAACCTCGAGAGTCTTTGGGCACATTGCCACCGCAAAGCAACTCTGGGTACTCTTCTTTTTGTACTCGGGCACAGGATTGGGCACCAGCCGCAAGCAAGGAATCAATCTTGGGGTTGATTGGAGAGGAAAACGGATGAAGAGAGAGAGAAGAAGAGGACGCGATGGCTATTGAAATGTCTACTTGGGTTTCTGTCCTTTCTTGGGACTCGGTACTTTTACATGGCCGTTGGACTGCTTCCTTTTGGGAACTACTTTGGGTGGAGGCTGTCTTCTACTTTCCTGCACAGAGAGTTGAGGAAAAAAGACAGCAGACTGTCAATCGTACTTAGCTAGCTATACTCTGACAAAAGCAATTGACGACTAGATTAGATACTCAAACTTGGTATCCTGGGCTCGAATGTCTGATTCTTCTTCTGCTCGCTCACGTTTCCGTAGTACATACCGAGAATGTCAAGGTATCAATGTCTTTTTGCATTCATGATTTTCGTAGTCATCTATCCTACTCTTGCCTGCCCCGAACAGACTTTTTCCCGTCTCTTCCCCAATCCTTACCAACCAGCGCAGCCCTTGACCTAGAATGCCCATAGCAGGCTATTCCAAAACATGTACTCTAATAATGTCCTGTACTGAATTTGCATTCATGCTTTCTCTCGCTCTCTCTTTCTTCTCGCAACGCTTGAGCACCTTATACACCATCTAAATAACTTCTAGCGCCAACGGTTGAGCTCCCTTGAAAGCGCACCGTACCTACGGATCAACGAGGTGGCCTGCGACGACCAGGCTTTCTGGATCCTTGGTAGCGTGATGACGGACTACGGACGTCTAACCTTGCCCTGCCGGCATCCTATTTGGGTGGGCTCTGGGAATCCTGCAATGGCGAAGGAACTCCCAAACCTGGTGTCTGCCCTCTCATAGCCGTCGGGGGCGCGCTGGCTGGCGATCCACGTCTGGATGCGGTCCTGAGCGCCACGTACCTTACGGCTTCGAGACACTTCTCCTCAAAGAAACGACTGCGCTCGCGCTCCCTCTCGATGTTAGTTCGTCTCTCGTCATACTCCTCGGCCGCCTCGCCCAGAAGCCGACTCTTCTCCGCGTCTGTCCGGATTCGCCGTTCCCCCTTGGCGCTGACCTCGTCCAGCTTGCGCGCCGTTGATGAGGAAACACGTTGGAGGGGTACGTCTGCTGGGCGAGGCCGGGACGAGTCGCCCCAGAAGCACCGGAAGGTGACCTTGGTCTGACTTGTATCGGCGGGCGTTCCCCAAACAACGATCTCGTCGCCATCGTAGATGGGTATCCAGTTGCGAGCTGCGCCGGTGGGGTTCTTGCAGTCGTGCGACGGAAGACCGTAGCCATTGAGGAGAACGCCGTTGGTGGCTTTTGTCGAGAGATAAAATGCATAGCCAGCCCCGGTGTCGTCCTTGTCCCAAGGCTGTTCCCGTCGCCACCTGTTGGGGTCAAAGCCATCCTTCCACAAGACGATCTTTGCTGCGTATTTTGGAACTCTTATCTCCGTCTTTGGATCATATATGATCATGTTCTCCGGTCCTCTGCCCCAGGACATGGCGATTTCATTGACTGGGACAGAGATTCCAGAAACGACCGATCCAGGCGATGACTCGAGAACAGCAACGGCTCGCTTCGTCCTCGTCCTCTCCTCCTGTATCGGAACGATGATGTTTTGGGTTTCTGGGGGCAGGGTATCTGGAAGCGAATCCTCTTCCGCCGGGGGTGCCGTGGCAGGAATGTCCCACTCAGCTCCGTCCAAAACCTTTCTATCATCCCGCTTCAGCATTGTCTTTGTGTCGTTGATGGTTGACGCTTCGTTGACGTGCAGCGCCGGCAGGCCGTTGCTTGGAGGAAAGTACTTGAAAGCCAATTCCCACAAGGGCGACTGGCCAGGCTCGAACTTTTCGCCCCGTGACTGAGCTGCTCGGTCGAACATGTCATATTGGAGCTGGGTCATCTCGGGATATCTCAGATGCCAGCTGGCAAGGTTGCTTCCCCAAAAGCCAATCTTGTTGTAAGGCTTGTCGATTTGGCGCCCCGATTCGAGTCTCTTGATTTGTGGCACTGAAGCAAGAAGCTTATACTCCTCCATCTCTTGGTCCACCAGGGCATCTAGATTCCCTTCAGACTTTAGGCGTTTGAAGGCTGGCTTCTCCCGAGGTCTTGGTTCGAACTCATCGCTTGTGTCGACAGATGACGGCTTCCTTTTGCTGGCGGTGTAGAATGTGCCGTTTACCTGTGAAGTTGCTGCAGATTTCATCTGGAAATCAGCCTCCGTAGCACCGAGGCTCTGCGAAGCGACATTCCTGACCAAGCTTTGCAGTTGATCCCCGGACTGACCTTCGGCAGCAGAGACGGACAGTCTTGCCCCGCTACTGGGATGCTTCTGTCCGATAATGGTCGAGACGTCTCCCGAGTCATAGCTGTCCCGAATCTCCGTCTCCAGGCTTTCACCGCTAATAATACTCGACTCGCCCAGGTTGAGGCGGTCCTCTGGAATTACCCCGGAACTTCCAACAGCCGACACATTGACTTCCCCGAACAATTTCGGCTGAGCTCCTTGTCCAGGAGGCCCGAACGTGCCGTTCTCCTTTTCGGAATCCTCCTCTATGAAGTCGTCTACAATGTCGTCGTCGACTACATCCTCGAATTGTGGTTCCTCGTCAGCCAGCGTGCGGGATTGTCCGTCTTGCAAACTGAGCTGTGAGGCGTTGATCTGGAGCTCCTCTTCCTCATCCGTAATTTCATCAAATGACTGGTCGATGCTTGGCTGCGACCTGACTCGGAAAGCCCCAAGCCATGGATGGGACTGTAAGTCCTTCACCGTCGCGCGGCATTCCGGTCGCTTCTCCAGCATCAGACGAAGAAACTCGATGCCCTCCTGAGAAATGTTGGCCCTCACTAGCGGCGTCGTGTTAAGTTGCTGCGTCATGATGGTGTGAAGCAACTCCGAGTGGCTCACACCGTTCTTAACGGGGTATGGCGGATAGCCAGTGAGGGCGTAGAACAAAACTCCACCAAGCGACCAGACGTCGACAACATGGTCATATCTTTGCCCTACAGCAGCGCGCTTGACCCTGTTGCGCGGGTGCCGACGCCCTTGATCATCGTATTCAGCGTACTCCGAGTATACTTCTGGCGCGCAGTAGAGCAGTGTGCCGCAGAAGGTCCGCAAAAACGTTTGCTCGTTGTCCACCATTTTCGAGAGTCCAAAGTCGGTCAGCTTCACATCGAATGGGGACAGTGAGTGAATCAGAATGTTGTCGGGCTTGACGTCTCTGTGGGTGATGTGATTCTCGTGCAAGTGTGCCAAAGCGCTCAGCAGTTGCGATGCCATCTGCTTCACAGATTTCTCTTGCAAGGGCCCCCTGGTGCTGATGAGCTTCCCCAAGTCGCCGCCACCAACGAACTCCATAATGATGATAAAAAGACGGTTTTCCCAGTCGAAATGCTCGATATATCGAACAATATTTGGCTGTTCACGGTCAGTCGTCTGCAGGAACGGGCAAAATGGAGGGAAGCGCAGCCTACATGCTCAAGCCTTTGCATGATTTTCATCTCATTTTCCACCTTCTGGTCCATAACCCCGTTCTTGATGAATCTTCGCTTGTCCAGCTCTTTGGCAGCATAGGGGTTGCCGTCAAATTTGGAGGTGACCTTGTATACAACGGCAAATGCTCCCTTACCAATCGTATTGATGCGGTTGTACTTGCCGGATCCATCCCATTCCCTCGAGAATCTCTCTGTATTGCTCTGGGTCGGTCCGGATGGCAACGCTATCCTCCGCGGCACGGCATTTTGCTGTCTTCTAGGTGCGTTGAAGAGGTCGACGTGACCGCCTGGACCAGGGGTGATGGTCTCATTTTGCTTTTGACGCAAGCGTTCCATATTGTCGAAATATTCCTCCAATTTTGAGATGTACGCACGATCATATTCGCCCTGCCTCTTGGGTAACCTAACCAAAAACTCGAGGTCGTGAGCCTCATGATGCATTAAAATCTTGACCTTGGAGCCGTGACTAAGGACCCTCCTCGTGTCGCATTTCTCATTTGGGGCCTTGGACTTGGCGCGCAGCAGGGTGCCGTCGACGAAGGTGCCATTCGTGGACTGGTCCTCGAGCATGACGACTCCGTACGAGTTGACGTAGATGCGAAAGTGGACATTGCTCAAGCGCTTCATCGGGTCGTTGGCAAAACATATGTCGCAGCGAGTGACGTTGCGGCCAAACAGAAACCCGTTGAGGGGGTCCTTCGTTTGAGCCGACAGCCTCAGGATCACGGCATATTCGGAATTCGGAGGTGTCAGCTGGAACTGGTCGGCCCTGTCTTCCTGCTCGTAGTCGGGCTCCACGGCGTCTGCCTCTGCTCGCACTATGATATGAGGCGAATGTTCCCTGGCGATACGATGGATCTCTCGGCGGGCGAAATCGGAGTGTGGATAGAGTAAGCAGATGATGTCGGAAATGTCCTCATCTGAGAAGCCCGAATTCTGCTTGCCTAT